CGCCACAACCTTTTTCGGTTCATTCAGTTTGGACTTTTTTGCCGTTATGCGCATTTTTTTATTTCGTCGACCTGCTCGTTTCACCGATTCGCTTTACGTGTTTTGTTAGCTTGTAGGCGGCTGACGAGTGCACGGGCTACTTGGAGCAAGCTGATGAGCGTGCAAGCTTGTTGTAATGTCATCAACGATTCATCAATTATTTGTTTCGACGGCTCGTCGTCTCGAGCTATGTTCAGGACCTATAGGAAACTTTTGGCACCTACAACAAGTCTAACTAGAAGTACGTAAAAGCCACCGTGGCAGCCGAGTCGTGTCAAAATAACTCGGCCAAGACCAAGTGGCTCGGTAAAGGCCGAGCCACCCCATGGTGGATAAACATGTAATGGAGTAGTCTTATAAAAAGATTAACTCTTTTGAATTCATTATAATTGATAAACGTGTAATGGATTCAACAAATAAACTAACTTTCAACGCAGACATAGAGGATGGTTGGATTGCGACTTCAGGATGATATCAAAAGGAGGTTGGCAGAATATCACAGTGAAGCTATGCACAAGTCTAGTCAAGATCCAAGATTAAGCTTCATGAGCAAATCAACTTGGTACACTAGTTTAGGATTTTTATATTATGTGTAAATGCTTTAAGCCCAATATCACAAATACACACAATTCTTGATTTTGTGTAATTTTAAAAAAATATTGAGTTATTAGTTTATAGACTTCAATTTCTCTTTATACTTATTTTATTAAGTCTATAAAACCATTTGAAAAGATTTCAAAACATTGTTTAACTCAAAAGTGAAAAATCAAGAAATTTATATACACACGTATTTATAAGTTTTGTAAAACTGAGAGATTTCATAAACGGGGAATAATATTTAGAAATTTTTTTTGTAACATGTTCATTTACATGTTTATAGACAACCAAATTTTAAATTTTTTGGAATTTATTTGATATTTTTAAACAATGTTCAAAGTTGATATTTACAGTTCATTTCAGGTTCTGTGCACGTTTTGAGTCGACTTGCTACAATAATGAGTCGACTCATAAAGTATTGCGCAGAAGGTGTTTTTCTGTTGAGTCGACTGAAAAATCAATGAGTCGACTGATACAATATATAGTCAACTCATACCTGTCATAAGTCGACTCATGAAGTATTATACAGTTAGTTGTTTTATCTGCTGAGTCGACTAACAATCCAATGAGTCAACTCATGTATTTACAAGTCGACTCATGTCTGTCATAAGTCGACTCATAATATGATCGTTGCAAAGTAATGTCTGGTTTCTAGATTTTGTGTTTTTAATGTTTTTATTGGTTTTTGTTGTTTTCTTGGGCTGGTTTCTTCTACCCTATATATACCCCACTACATTTAACACTCAAAACCACTAAGAAATTTTTTAAACAAGTTTACAAGAGGTATTAAAGTTTGTTTAGTGTATTTACAAGTTTTGTTTGTGAAGAGATTTTCACAAGAGGAAGAAGAGATCATCTTTGGTGTTTGAGCTTCAATCTCTCATCTCCCTTACTCTTGTCATCTTAGAAAAGTTTCACTAAACTCAATTCTAGTTTTACATATTTATATTTGTTATTTATCTTTTCACTAAACTAGATTTACAATTGATCTAGGTTTTGTTATTGTTTATTATTTCACACACAAACATTGAGCTTATAGTATTATCACACATTGTGTAATTTGGGTTGTGGGTGTGATTGAGTGAGCTTACACTTAGTTCTCATCTTGTATTAGAGAACAAACCATTTGTTATTGAGAATTCATTATGAGATCAATTTGTAATATACTTGTACACCGAGAGGAGTGTGTGATGAGAGACATGATCGATTCCAAGAGGAGTGACGTTTGTAGTAAATCCTAGGGAGAGGTTGTAAATCCGAGTACTTGAGGAATGCGACACGGGCTAGGACAACACTTAGAGGGTGTAGAGTGTGATTGCAAGGGTGTGAGTTGTGAAAGTTTTCGGTAAGCTAGAAAACTGAGATTGTGAGGCGTAAACTTTTTCGGTTAGCATTGAAAACCGGTTGAGATAGTGGAGCTCTCCTCGAGAGTGGAGAGCGGAGACATAGGTCAGAAGGACCGAACTCCATGATCATTTTCTTGTGTTTGCACTGGTTATTTGCCCACTATCTTGTTTAAATTGTCTCATAGTTTATATCGCCCTTTGTTTATTTGTTATCCTTGCATATATCTTATTGTATATCTTACTTGCTAGGATATTGTTAATAAATTTTTATTTGGCATTAATATCGGATTAGATTAGCATATTACCCAATTCACCACCCTGTAGTGTAATTTAAATAATGAGAGGGAAAACATATAAGTTAGTAATTAGGAAATGACTGAGCATCAATCTATGAAACTGTTGTCATGTAAATGAGATCTTTATTACTAGGAGAGACTACTTGGGGGAATAATGTGTTTGCTTATTACTTTTCCCCAAATTATCTTTATGTTTCAACTATTACTTTCGATGAATTAAGTAAACTACCATGCTATATGGTTTTCAGAAAGACTTTATCTTTCTTCTATTATTTTAGATGAAATCGGTAAACTCCTTTCATTTGCTGGAATGCCCAAACTTATTATACCGAATAATGAAATTTAAACTGACTACTTTATTTATGATAGGAATGTAAACTTCCTACAGATGAATGATTGCTAAACTGGCGTTTGTAATAGGAGGAATTGAATGGCTATATAATATTTACCAAAAATAAGGTGACAGTTGTCATGTTTTTATTTCTTTCAATCATATCAGAATTAGGCTGGTTTTTTAGGACATCTGATAAGTTTTGAGTACACTTTTACCGTGAATCATCAGTCTCTTGTATTTAGACCATGATTTTTGAGAATACCGTACTTAATCAAGTTCTTTATCTTTCGTTTATTTTACCCAATCAAAGTCATTCGAATCATCGTACATTCCTTGTAAGAACATTAGTCCAAGTACACCTCTTGCTAATTTATTGGTACAATGAACGATAAGAAGAAGAACAAAGAAATAGAGATATGAGAAGAAATTTTCACTAATTTTTGTTTCACAAATTTTCACTAATCCATGTTAAACTAACTATACAAATTCTGAATATTTAAAAGCTGCAAATAGCTTGTCGACTAAATTCTACAGAGTGAGAAGAACATGGGGAATATCGATGCTTGAGTACAGAGTCTAACAACACCCTATCCATAGCTTTAGTTCCTCGCCTTCTAAGCAAGGATAGAATATAATTCATGAATGCTGCATCACAAGGCAAAACGATAGGACCATCGCTTGGTAGTCCATGCTCATCTTTAGACATCTTCAAGAGTTCGACAAAGATAGTGCTTTCAAGGAAAGCCAAAGACCATGAATCTCTTTGCATCGGAGGTATATATGACGAAATGGCCTTTTTCTGTAACTGATGTACTGCATGCATCAAAATCATGTTGAACATCGTTTTTTGCAGAAGATATTTTTTTGGCTAAGGCAGAAACCTTGCGCCACTTCTTCGCCATCTCATTAAGCTTCTTGGTGTTCACCATTGTGAATGTCTAGATATCAATCTGCTTGGAGAACAAATATTTTAGTTTCTAGTTTCTGGGGTTGAGTATGTGATGAGAAGAATAGCAGTGCTGGCCATTAACTTATAGGAACGGAGAGTGGCCCCATGATAAGCTGTAGAAATTTGTATGCTATTTAGGTGAGGAAACAGAGCCATGTGCTTAGTGAAAGAGAAGATGGGATTGTATGAAAGATGTTTGGATTTGGTTGGGGTGTTGTTATCCTTTGGGCTAGACGTTAAGTGTATGGATATCAATCACTTCTTTTCTCTCAAGCTTGGAAGAACTAATTGGCAAATTGCCAGGTCCATTCTAATGCTCCCGGTAGAGGAAGAAAAACAATGTTTGAGCTGTGATATTTTGTGTTGGGTTGCCTAAAACTTTAACATACAAAATTGATATCTACAATCTGACAATATGACACAGACGTTGCACAATTGAATCGGCAATGGAGCCCTTTTCACATTCAAAAAAAAAAAAAACTGAAATGTAATATGGAAGATAATGTGTTGAGTGTCAAGAACTATTTTACCAAAAGTTCCAGTGAAAGGATAAAAATAAAGAATCGAGCAAAGACATAATCAACCAAAATGGAAGTTCCCGTCCACCCCAACTAAGTTTTTTGAACTTATAACAGTGGAATGCAATAGACTTTAAATAAAAAACGGTAGTACACAGCGCACTCCTTTTTAGACATTTACACACTTGAAACTTCTAACTTGGCGCTTCCTTCACTTTTATGTAACCTTCAACACTGTGAGAAAGAAGATCACTNGGGGGGGGGGGGTGGGGTGGGGGGGGAATTACTTGCTTTTTAGTATTCAGTATGTATCCTACTGAAAATAACAATCAAGAAAGACAATGGCACATGACTGTCCCTTGAAGACTTCCCTCAACCAAATTGCAGGATCATATATTTATCTATGGAATCTATGAACCATGCTCCATGCATTCAGCATGTGTTCTAAATAAAAAGTGTACCTTAAGAGTGAGAAAATGTCACACATGGGTGACCCTTCAAAATTTAAACCACAATTGCATCTCACAGCGTAACCTTAAGTTTTCACCAACTAATCTCATGAAGTGAAGATCTGCAACTTCCTAAATTAAAAGTTCAATTTGGAACATGGCTTGTCTAACAGAAGAAGAATGGTGATGCTGTTTGCTGGACCCTGTACTAACCTATGTCTCATCCAATGGAAAGTAACTGCACAACCAAATCCAAACTTCTTCATCAAATTTCTTCTTCCCATCTGCTAAGCACATGGCTCTGTTTCTTCTCCAAGACTGCATACCAACTTACACAGCCTATCATGGGGCCGATTTCTATTCATATAAGAAGAGGGCCATAGCGTCTGCTATTCTCATCACATCCCCAATCTCATAAACTAGAAATCCAAATATTTGTTTCCAAAGCAAAGGTATATTTACATATTCAACAATGGTGAACTCCAAGAAGATTATTGAGATGGCGAAGAAATGGCAAAAGGTGGCTTCATTGGGCAAAAGTGCCTCCTCATCGCAGACCGGTGCTCAACTACATTCTGATGCTTGCAGTACATCGGTAGCAGAGAAAGGTCACTTCATTGTATATACCTCGGATTCGAAAAGGTTCATGGTTCCTTTGAGATTTCTGGGGAGTGTTATCTTTGTAGAACTCTTGAAGATGTCTGAAGATGAGCTTGGACTACCAAGATATGGTCCTATTCTATTGCCTTGTGACTCAGTGTTCATGGAGTATGTTCTAACATTGCTCAGAAGGCGAGGCTCAAAAGCTATGGACACGGTGTTGTTAGATACTGTTTTCAAGCACCAACGTTTCCCATGTTCTTCGCACATTATAGGGTTGAATCAACAAGTTGTTCGTAGCTTCTGAATCTTCTAATTCCTTGTAAAGTGTTACAATTTTGTAGATGAAGTTTAGATAACGGTATGTGATTAACAAATCTTTCAGCTGCCTAACGAATGAAAAATATTCAGCTTTCATCTGGAATTGATTAACGTTATGCAGTAAATATTATTAGAATCGTTGTTAGAAATTCCAATTGTGAGTGCATGTTTTAACTTCTACATCCTCGGAAGTTAATGCGTGAAAATGCCAAAAAGACAAAGATCATGGTAAATTTTCTTAAAGCTATCTTAAGCTTATGAGGTTTCATCCTCCGAAATAAAGCTTATTTGCTAGATTGACTATAGATATAGTAGTACGAATTAAAATGGACGGCTACTTTTGTTGGCAGATGCAGTAATTTTTTGGCTATGGACTAATGTTGAACTTGCTGAGGTTGGAGTAAAAAAAAGAAAATTGTTGACAATAGATATGACTTTTGTGTAGCACAGGTGATAGATTTGTTGAGAAAAAATTTAGAGTACACAACTCTATACTTACTAATATTGGACTCAAACAAGTAAACTAATCACTTGTATTATACCCAAAATAAAGGACACTACAACACTTTTCAAAGATCACTCACAATTTGAAGAGAAATACAAACACACAAAAGAAAGCTCACAACTCACTTATTTTGGTGGACACTCACACAAGCTTACACTACACTCAAGCTCACTTCTTTCCTGCTTAAACAAATGAGAGCCCATGCAAGACCCCTATTTATAGTTGAGTAAGAGGGCTAGGAAGTGTGTGAAAGAATCAATCCTAACCATACATTAGTAAAAAGTTTCTAGAAGAATAAATACTAGCCATACACTTGTATCATCCTAAAAACGTCTTGGTAGATATTTTGCAGGATGTTTCTAGCTAGAAAGAAGTTCTAGAAAATTATTCTAGAACAATCTAAGTTGGTGAGAGATTCTAACACTCCCCCTCATCACCAACTTTATTCGCTCTTGCAATCACTCCAAGTCATTCTCGAAATTCTGTAACTTAGAAGGATTCAAGCTCTTGGTGAAAATGTCCGCTACTTAGTCTTCGCTCTTGATGGGTTGCATCTGTATTTCTCCTTGTAGCACATTTTCTCTTATGTAGTGATGATGGATCTCTATGTGTTTCGTTCTTGCATGAAAAATTGGATTTAGCACATTTTCTCTTATGTAGTGATGATGGATCTCTATGTGTTTCGTTCTTGCATGAAAAATTGGATTCTCTGCCAAACGAATTGCCGAATGATTGTTACAGTACAACGGAACTGTATAATCTACTAGTTGATGTAGATTGTTCATTAGTTGTATCAACCGTGTACTCTCTTGAGCTACCATTGCTGCTGCTCGATACTCAGCTTCAGTGATTGATAATGATATAGTCGGCTGTCTCTTGCTACACCAAGAATTTATTCCAGAACCAAGTCTAAACAAATACCCTGTTGTTGATCTTCTGGTGTCATGATCTCTTGCATAGTCAGCATCGTAGTAACCAACTAACTTGTAGTCTCCACCTTTCTTTTACAAAAGACCATAATCAATTGTACTCTTTACATATCTCAGCATACGCCGAACTGCTTCCAAATGATGCTTCTTTGGATTTTGCATGTACCGACTCATCACACTAACTGCATAAGAAATGTCAGGTCGAGTCAAGGTTAAGTAGATCAGACTGCCTACCAATTTTTGATACATTGTTGCATCTTTCAAATCTTTTCCTTCATGCGCACACATTTTGGCATTTGGTTCCATCATCGTCGAAATCGGCTTGCATTCAAGCATTCCGAACCTCTTCAACAAATCTTTGGAATATTTTTGCTGACAAAGAATTATTCCTTCTTGTGTGCGATCAACCTCTAAACCAAGGAAGTGCTTGAGATGTCCAAGTTCCTTCATCTGGAAACGAACTGATAAATTTTCCTTCCTCCTAATAATTTCTGCCTCATCATCACCGATTATCATTAAATCATCTACGTATACTAGCACGATAGCTAGCTTTCCATCATTGACTTTGACAAATAACCTGGAATCTGCAAGTGTTATTGAATAACCACTTTATGTTAGAAATTTAACAATCTTACCATACCACACACTGGGTGCTTGTTTCAAACTGTAAAGCACCTTCTATAGTTTACACACATATTCAGGATGATCTTGGCTCTGAAAACCCATTGGCTGAATGTAAAACCCCGTGAATTTTAGAAAATAGTATGAATTATATTGATAAATGAGCTCTAATTATGATGAATATCATTTATGGATGAATTATTATGCTAACAATTGATTTGAGATCAATTAAGAGTATATATAAGAGTATACAAAAGTTAAATATGCACAAAGAAGAAATCTAAAAAATGACCAGTTAAGAGTATATCTACATTACACACTGATACAGTTCGAATCTAGAAACACTAAAAAGAAAAAAAGTTGTAGTATCTTCAATAGATTTCCAACACATCTAAAATTATCTCATTCTGAGATCGGACATGAAAGTTACAGCCAAAATACCGAAGACTATTTTCCCAATCTGACTAGATCTCATTCTGAGATCGGACATGAAAGTTACAGCCAAAATACCGAAGACTATTTTCCCAATCTGACTAGGTTTCTAGCTTTAGGTTCGGGCTGTTTTGATTTGGGTTTGCAGTTATTTATATACAAATTTACACACGAAAATACATCTTTTCATCAGTATTCCAAACTCTAGAAGCCCATCTTTCTCTCTCTCTCAAACTCTAATTATAATTTGGTGGCTTGCGACAGTTCGAGCAACCATTTGGTGGCTCGCGGCCATGCGAGCCACGCCACCAAATGATGGCTCGCACCCACGCGAGCCATTAGCTTTAGTCCTCGTCTTTTTGACGCGTTTTGACCGCCACAGGCTTTTTCGGTTCATTCAGTTTGGACTTGTTTCGCCGTTATGCGCATTTCTTTATTTCGTCGACCTGCCTGCTTCACCGATTCACTTTACGCGTTTAGTTAGCTTGTAGGCGGCTGACGAGTGCACGGGCTACTTGGAGCAAGCTGATGAGCGTGCGGGCTTGTTGTAATGTCATCAGCGATTCGTCACTTTTTTGTTTTGACGGCTCGTCGTCTCGATCTATGTTCAGGACCTATAAGCAACTTTTGACACCTACAACAAGTCTAACTGGAAGTACGTAAAAGCCACCCTGGCAGCCGAGTCGTGTCAAAATGACTCGGCCAAGACCAAGTGGCTCGGTAAAGGCCGAGCCACCCTATGGTGGCTCGCACCAAGCCACCGTAGGGTGGCTCGAGTCCAAAAATGCCGAAAACACATGTTTTGATAGTTTTCTCGAGATTCTTTCGTTCTAGAGTCTCCCCAACTGTTTTGAAGATATCCCTAAACGTGGTTAAGCTGTTATTAACTAAAGATAAGATCAAATCATCAATTCCTATCTGAAAACGCTGTGTCCGAAGCCTATAAATACAAGCCTAGGGTCCTATACGCAGGGGATCTGAAATTTAGGCGAGGTGCTGTCCCTGTGAAGAGTGAATCACGAATTTCAGAGAGGCTAGTAGATCTTGGCGAAGTTCTTCAGCATAAAGAGGGAGAGTTCGAGAGATCTGAAGCTCATTCCTCTTTCCTCCGGATCAAACTTGGTTTTGATCTCGAGAAGAGTAGTAATCTCGCTTGGTAGAGATTATTTACTTCTGCGATTGTTTCCTTTGTGAAGTAAGATAATTGAATTTTTGTTCTGTTAACCGAATCTAATCTGCATCGGTCTACGGACTAACGTGTCCCCGACACAGGTAAAGATCTCACGCAAGCAGCGGGTGATAAACGTGTAATGGAGTAGTCTTATAAAAAGATTAACTCTTTTGAATTCATTGTAATTGATAAACGTGTAATGGATTCAACAAATAAACTAACTTTCAACGCAGACATAGAGGATGGTTGGATTGCGACTTCAGGATGATATCAAAAGGAGGTTGGCTGAATATCACAGTAAAGCTATGCACAAGTCAAGTCAAGATCCAAGATTAAGCTTCATGAGCAAATCAACTTGGTACACTAGTTTAGGATTTTTATATTATGTGTAAATGCTTTAAGCTCAATATCACACATACACACAATTCTTGATTTTGTGTAATTTTAAAAAAATATTGAGTTATTAGTTTATAGACTTCAATTTCTTTTTATACATATTTTATTAAGTCAATAAAACCATTTGAAAAGATTTCAAAACATTGTTTAACTCAAAAGTGAAAAATCAAGAAATTTATATACACACGTATTTATAAGTTTTGTAAAACTGAGAGATTTCATAAACGGGGAATAATATTTAGAAAATTTCTTTTGTAACATGTTCATTTATATGTTTATAAACAATTTCCCAAATTTTATATTTTTTGGAATTTATTTGATATTTTTAAACAAGGTTCAAAAAGTTGTTATTTACTGTTCATTTCAGGGTCTGTGTACATTTTGAGTCGACTTGCTACAATAATGAGTCGACTCATAAAGTATTGCGCAGAAGGTCTTTTTAATCTGTTGAGTCGACTGAAAAATCAATGAGTCGACTGATACAGTATATAGTCGACTCTTATCTGTCATAAGTCGACTCATGAAGTGTTATACAGTTAGTTGTTTCATCTGCTAAGTCGACTTACAATCCAATGAGTCAACTCATGTAGATACAAGTCGACTCATGTCTGTTATAAGTCGACTCATAATATGATCATTGCACAGTAACGACTGGTTTCCAGATTATGTGTTTTTAATGTTTTTATTGGTTTTTGTTGGTTTCTTGGGCTGCTTTCTTCTACTGAAAATAACAATCAAGAAAGACAATGGCACATGACTGTCCCTTGAAGACTTCCCTCAACCAAATTGCAGGATCATATATTTATCTATGGAATCTATGAACCATGCTCCATGTATTCAGCATGTGTTCTAAATAAAAAGTGTACCTTAAGAGTGAGAAAATGTCACACATGGGTGACCTTTCAAAATTTAAACCACAATTGCATCTCACAGCGTAACCTTAAGTTTTCACCAACTAATCTCATGAAGTGAAGATCTGCAACTTCCTAAATTAAAAGCTCAATTTGGAACATGGCTTGTCTAACAGAAGAAGAATGGTGATGCTGTTTGCTGGACCCTGTACTAACCTATGTCTCGTCCAATGGAAAGTAACTGCACAACCAAATCCAAACATCTTCATCGAATTTCATCTTCCCATCTGCTAAGCACATGGCTCTGTTTCCTCTCCAAGACTGCATACCAACTTACGCAGCTTGTCATGGGCTGATTTCTATTCATATAAGAAGAGGGCCATAGCGTCTGCTATTCTCATCACATCCCCAATCTCATAAACTAGAAATCCAAATATTTGTTTCCAAAGCAAATGTATATTTACATATTCAACAATGGTGAACTCTAAGAAGATTATTGAGATGGCGAAGAAATGGCAAAAGGTGGCCTCCTCATCGCAGACCGGTGCTCAACTACATTCTGATGCTTGCAGTACATCGGTAGCAGAGAAAGGTCACTTCATTGTATATACCTCGGATTCGAAAAGGTTCATGGTTCCTTTGAGATTTCTGGGGAGTGTTATCTTTGTAGAACTATTGAAGATGTCTGAAGATGAGCTTGGACTACCAAGTGATGGTCCTATTCTATTGCCTTGTGACTCAGTGTTCATGGAGTATGTTCTAACATTGCTCAGAAGGCAAGGGTCAAAAGCCATGGACACGGTGTTGTTAGATACTGTTTTCAAGCACAAACGTTTCCCATGTTCTTCGCACATTATAGGGTTGAATCAACAAGTTGTTCGTAGCTTCTGAATCTTCTAATTCCTTGTAAAGGGTTACAATTTTGTAGATGAAGTTTAGATAACGGTATGTGATTAACAAATCTTTCAGCTGCCTAATGAATGAAAAATATTCAGCTTTCATCTAGAATTGATTAACATTATGCAGTAAATATTATTAGAATCGTTGTTAGAAATTCCAATTGTGAGTGCATGTTTTAACTTCTACATCCTCGGAAGTTAATGCGTGAAAATGCCAAAAAGACAAAGATCATGGTAAATTTTCTTAAAGCTATCTTAAGCTTATGCGGTTTCATCCTCCGAAATAAAGCTTATTTGCTAGATTGACTATAGATATAGTAGTACCAATTAAAATGGATGGCTACTTTTGTTGGCAGATGCAGTAATTTTTTGGCTATGGACTAATGCTGAACTTGCTGAGGTTGGAGTAAAAAAAAGAAAATTGTGGACAATAGATATGGCTTCCGTGTAGCACTAGTGATAGATTTGTTGAGAAAAAATTTAGAGTACACAACTCTATACTTACTAATATTAGACCCAAACAAGTAAACTAATCACTTGTATTATACCCACAATAAAGGACACTACAACACTTTTCAAAGATCACTCACAATTTGAAGAGAAATACAAACACTCAAAAGAAAGCTCACAACTCACTTATTTTGATGGACACTTACACAAGCTTACACTACACTCAAGCTCACTTCTTTCCTACTTAAACAAATGAGAGACCAAGACCCCTATTTATAGTTGAGTAAGAGGGCTAGGAAGTGTGTGAAAGAATCAATCCTAACCATACATTAGTAAGAAGTTTCTAGAAGAATAAATACTAGCCATACACTTGTATCATCCTAAAAACGTCTTGGTAGATATTTTGTAGGATGTTTCTAGAAATAAGTTCTAGAAAATTATTCTAGAACAATCTAAGTTGGTGAGAGATTCTAACACTCCCCCCCATCACCAACTTTATTCGCTCTTGCAATCACTCCAAGTCATTCTCGAAATTCTGTAACTTAGAAGGATTCAAGCTCTTGGTGAAAATGTCCGCTACTTAGTGTTGACATATTAGTATAGTTAAGGGTCTTATTTGTAAAATGTGTTTGTATGGCCTATATAAACCCATGCTTTCTCATCTATGGGTTTAGGGTTTTTATTCAATTTGGTATCAGAGCAAAACCCTAGCCGTCAGCAGCCCCCCCTCTATAAGATATATCACTTTTGATTCTTGTTTCCTCTGAGAAACAAGAATTTTGTTGAGCTCTTACTCTTGTTGTGCAGCAGAAGTGCTGCCGAAATTTTCACTGCACACAACAAGGGTTGGAGTAGAAGGTGAACAGGTGTTGGGTCTGAAGCTTTATCAATGGAGAAGATCATCAA